TTTTGATTTTTTTTTACTTATTCGGATGGAATACTTTTGAGAGCATTTTTTAAGGTTATGCCGACTAACTCATGTGCGATCGTGGCAACGAAATATTTACACGGTCTCTTTAAGCATCGCCAACTAGGTTCATTTGATATAGGGCTGTGACGGTTTAAATTAAAGTTTCTTCATCGAGGACGATTTGCTGCTTTCCTCGTGACAAAATTTAAATTTATACTGGTATGAGTAAATGTAATAGTTTGCAAGATAAAATTGAAGCGATTGAATTGAAAAAAGTGGACTCTTTTTCCTTTTTCTACTCACCTCCGAATTTTTACAAATTGAATTCTTTTCAATTTTTCCGATTGTAATGGAAAATGACTCACGGGTTAGTTAGGTCTTGACAAACATGTTAGTCCTCATTTTTAACTTTGTAAACCCACTCATCACACCATAAATTTGATGCTTGCGATAAGTGGAGAAAAGGTTTTGGTTGCTACTAACGTGCAATTTGTCTTAATTTTTCTGTTTATCCAATTCGATTGGGTATTCATTTTAAAAACGGGTGCTAAATTAAAAGTTTTGATTGTTCGCTAGTTATTTATCACTCCACAAATATTTGAATTTTTAGTTTGAGGACTGTTTTTTGGACCTTAGAACACTTTAGGCTGATTTTTGGCCAAAATTTTGGCTTAACGGGAGGCTAGTGGTTCAGATTCTTAAAAGGTTGTTTATGTGTGCCCTGCAACGAAAATATCGGTAGACATTTTCGGGACAAAATATTAAAGAAAAGAAACTAACGCTCAAAATTTGAGCGGTTTGAGTGGTTTTTGCTCGTTATTGAGTGGTTTTCTACAGTTTCGAACAATTTGATCGTTTCATGCTATATTGAGCGGTTTTGAGCTTAAAAAACGCACACTTCGGTTTATATCTTGAGCCGTTTTTGAGCGGGATCTCGACTACGGAAGCCACTTTTGTTGCAAATAAAAGTTTTTGCGAGTTCAAACTCGGTTTGATGACCAAGCGCCGAAACTCTTACACTCCACCTCTGATTTCCACATTTCAATAGTTGCTTTGTTTTAGAGGCGCTATTGGAATTTTAAAAAATAATAAATAATGAGGCTTTGACATAACACCGGCAAATTATATCTAATATCTTTTTTGTGAAACCCAAATTCAAACACGCTATATCTGCTGAACAATTTCCATTAAATGTCGCTGGTTTCCGCAGTATTTTTTATCAAATTTAAATTTTCATCTGAGTTCCGTATTTGCCACTCTATTCTTCAATTTTTTGATGGATTGCACTTTTATTCTCTGGATTCAGCGATTTGGCGATCTCAACTGAAATATTGTGGAATCGAGCAACATTTGTTGGACTTAGGGTCAAGGGCAAAAACTCAATAGTAGATGAAACCAAATTCTAGCAGGGCTGAACAATTTTCCTTATAACTTCTCGTCATTCTTATTTTATTTTAACGCTTAATGTTTAATAAGTCTGCTCGTAAATCAGGGCAAAGCCCTGAATGTTCCCACTGCCCCTTAATCCATATCGGATAGTTTTTGGGGAAAAAAAGTATAGAAAAACTATAAGTTTTGGACAATATCGAAGATCAAGTGTAAAAAATTGAGTCGTACGGAATTAATACGACCGATTAGCTAGCTTCATTTCAGTTTGTTGTGCGGGGTAATTCGCGTTAACCTTTCAGGATTATGGATAAACTCTTACTAAGCGCGTATAAATTAGTCCAGAGTATGAACAATTTTGCAGTTTTCTAACATCAAAAATTTGTAAAAAATGATCGAGGGTAAAACAATTTTGAAAATATATTTCATGGAGTAAAAATTTTCAAACGCACATAAATTTTTTTTTACTAAACACGATTATTTTGATCGCTGAAAATTGACTGAATATAAAAAACACACCAAGCAAAAACATCTCGTTTTTTTCGCAAGTCGGAACAGTCATTGTTTCGACGTTTGAACAAGGTGACGGAATATTTGTGCTCGGATGGTTTTTTCTCCAGACAAATTTTGAGTTTATAACAAGCAATTTTTTTTCCATCTGATATCCTGATTTTGGGATTTTTCTTTGAACTTTCTTGCCGTTAAAGTTATAGGAGTTTAAAATTTGCCAATTCAGCCATATTGATATAGGAAATGGGTGAAATATTTTGTGCTAATAATGCTTAAGCGGCTATTCAAACCGGCTAGAAAAATTTTTCGATAATTTTTATCACTGTATCTTCATTTTTATCAATATTTCACCATTATTTTTTACCAGATGCTAATTAAACCACCTTGTACTTCAAATAGCGTGCAGAAAATGTTAGGTTTTCAGTAAATATCTAAAAAGAAACCTTTTTTTGCATTTTTTTAAAGTTCTATCAGTTTTTCAATTTTTTTCAGATTGTTTTTTATGATCAAAGAAACACTCCGAAATCAATATCAGAATTGAAGTTATAATCTGAATACTCCAGGCAAACTTGAAAAAATTCTGCCAAATTTTTTCGTCCTTTTATTCAAGTCGGATTGACATAAATCAAAACAACAATAGTCGGTTGATATGTAAATATCACAGCAAGTTTTGATAGCAACAAAAAAAAACAAGGCCTTTTGTTTTTGAAATTGTGTCGTTTTTTGTGCGTGGCATGATCAGAGAATTTGATTTAAAAAAACCTTCCAATCAGGTTCGATCAGTAGCTGCACTACGTTACGATCATTCGACAGCTTTTTTTTTTTCAAAAAATGAACAAAAAACAATCAAACTGAAAAAAAAACGTTTATAAAACTGCAAAGACGCTAAAATAACTTCAAAAACATTTTTTACTTAAGGGAAATTAGTTTCTCATAGTCTGAACAAAGTTTATCGTACTGCTGTGATAAATCTGCCCGCTCGCTTTATTTGCCCGAAACTAAAACTCAAACTAGACTAACTGACTTGAAATAAAAAAAATTATTTGACTGAAACCAGACTAAACGCCAAAACCTAGAAGCAGAAAAAAAACATAAAAAGTCAAATAAGATCATGATTTTAGCTGAAAAGGTTTTAAATGATAAAATCGACCTAATTCAATATAATTTGTTGTTCGTGTTGCTTTTTTTCAAAATGATAGAAAAAAAACTAAAATTTAGGAATTGAGAGAATAGTTGTGTATTGTATTAGCAAAGTATTTATTCCCGATAGCTTAGATCTACAATTAACAAACCATAAAAGCTTGTAATTTATCGTTTTCTAGATATTGAGAGCTCTTATTTTTTACAAATTTTGAAGAAAAGTTGGAATATTTAAGCTTGGGTGTTTTTTGAATCAGTCAGAATTCCACTTGTTAACTCTTCATCTTGATGGAAACTTTTCAGATAATCTAAAAAAATAATGTTCTTTGGAGCTCAGAAATAACAAAACGTCACTTGTGATCTATTTTTCTCTGTGAATGGGATTTTAAAAGTATTTATTTTGACCAGTTTGGGATAATTAGTGCGTGATCTTTTGGTTTCTCATCACAAGCGTAAAAAAGCTTAGAAGCAAAGAAGACTGCTTGTATCAGGACAAAGCCTTGAACGTTCCGGCTGCCTCTTAAGGTCTATAACATGAAAAAAATGTAATAAATTGAAAAGAAAAAAAAGAAATTAAAAATTGAGACACACCCAACAAAAATAAGAGAGATAAATTTTGCTCCTAGTTACAAGTCCTCCTAGTAAGCTCCTAGTATGTCAAATAAGCTTACTTCAACAATTTTGGAACGGTTTTTAAGACGGATTAAATCTCCGCTTGTTAATTGTCCCGAATTGGCCAAAATGGCAATCTTTAAACCGCCATAACTTTGCGAAAAAGGATCACAGGTGAAGTATCTTTTTAAATTTAAGCTCAGGACAACAATTTTTTTTGAATGATATAAGAAATATCTGTCAAAAATGGCTAGTTAAAAAGTCGACATTTGTCTGAAGAAAAAATACCACCCCGAGCTCTAAAATTCAGTTACTTTCATTACAAAAGTCGGAACAAAAAATGTTTGCCTGACCTTTTTAGGTATTTGCATGACCAATTTTTCTTGCCTTGCGGAAGAAATGCTTGAAATTTTGTGAAGTTTTTCATGTTCTGATTTATAGATTTTCTAAACTTTTTTTTCTGTTGGGCTTTTATGCCGATTAAACATGTACAGAGTCAGGAACGAGAGATGCACCATATAGCTGGAAAGTTCTTTGGTATCCCCATACATTTCAATTCAGATGACCTTTTAGTGGCGCGGCGTTCCAAATTTTCAAGCGAAAATATATTCTTTCCCGTACTTAGTTAGTTGCACCGCAGGCAATCTTTCAAATTGTCATTCAAACCTATCCCCTATAAGGTTATACCCATATGCATTGCAAGAATGATGTTGACGGGAAAACAAAACGCCCCCGTTTATTATTACTCACGTTATGAATAAAAGGCCCAAGTCCCGTTACTTTTAGCCGCAGGTGATTTAAAAGCAAAATTACACAAAAAATGTTATGTGAAGCATTTTGATGTGGTAATGTTCAGGTCCCGGTCTTAACGTTTTTGTGCTTCATTAATAGTGATGTTTATTTTTGAGGGAAATTTCAAAAGGTGTCAAAAAGAAATTTCAGGTGAAAACGGAAATATAACCATCAATCTATGACATAGAAAAAATAGTCCGAACTAAAAATTATTACAGTGAAAAATTACAGTTTTTATGTGTGCGGGATGCATCGCTAAAATACCACTATGGAAAATTTAGGGGTCACAAGACGCGCATCAGGTATAAAAAATGTATTTACCTTCCAATCCTGTAAAAACAAAATTTGCCAAAAAGGAAATGAGTTTGAATAGATTAATGTTTTTTTCAAGCACAAATAGCACATTAGATTGAAAATTCAACTAAAAGGAAAATTAAAACTGAAATAACCGCGCCTCAATTGATTTCAAAAAGCTTTTTATCAATAGTCTTTGATGACGCAGCATATGACCGTGTCAATTGAAATTTTTTACAGCTCTTGTAAAATTCAGTAGACCGGAAATTTCAGTAGCTCATTTGGTAAAAGCTTCTTCTATGTCAATTTATTTTGTACTAAAACTCTTGAGCGTATCTCATTTCCTTCATCTTAAGATGAAAGCTAATCACTGTATTAGCGTCTAATTAAGCTGATAGGATGACAAATGCGGGTGATTATTTCATGCCACATGAGCGAGCATCACATCACACGGGAATATCATTCGGGGAATTTCATCCAATCCTGAACGGATATGATAAAAGAGAAAATATGCGGCAACTTGGTGCACTTTGAGAGTTTTAATACAGTTATTTTCAAAGGTTGTTCATACTTCTTTCCCTATCGCTACCGTTATTCTGGTGCGGCTACTTTTCCCATTATCATGGGCTGCGCTAAACCACAACAAAACAAAACATCTTAAGTGACGACACTAATTTCAGACGATTTTATTCCCAACCCAACCAAAGCAATTCGAAATTCAAATACGAAATGAATTTGAGCCGGAGACTTTATTTTCGATCATTTTCCCCCAACTTTTGTTTCTATCTACAGATCTGTGTAATGAACAATCGAACCGTGAAATTACATGCTAATTCTTTCTGACTTTTTTCTATATTTTCGTGAAGATACCTTTCGATTTAGATTAACGATACCTTTTGGAGTGTTTAAATCTTCTGGCCATTTTGTCCGATTTTGATTAAAAGTGTAAGTTGGTAGCTACGCAAAAATTCTCTCCCTTTATTTGCGTCGATAGCAACCCAACTGTAAGTTTTAATTTCGCTGAAAGCCTTTTCGGATTCATCCAACCCGCCGTTATGTTCACTCTTTTTCAGGTGAAAAATGGAATCATAAATTATCGTGATTGGATCTGCTGCTGAATTATTTTTTCACGGAAAAGTGCATTATAACGAAGACACTCAGATAACTCGAACGTCCTCCGCAAATGCGTAAAAAGCTTTTTGGAAACGCATCAACCAATTTCCTATATAGCTGCTTTTATTAAAGCCAAAAAGCTCAAAGGACATGGAATTTGCTTGATTTTAATCTATCCTTTATCATCTTTTTCTGCTTAAAAAACCTACTTTATTTTTCAGAATGAAAACAAATTTGCCTCAATTTTTGTTCTATTAGATGACGGACTTTTTATTTGGTTCATCCATTTGAAAAACACACACGTCGGTGCTTCTTTATTTTTCATCCGCCACTTTATTATTCCAAAGAAGACATACAATTGACGCTCTGATTTATTTATTAAATCGCTACCATAATTTATTGAATTATGACCAAATTATTCACAGATGTATACTTGCTTTTACTTTTTCACATCGTGCTCAAATGTTCGGCCATGAGAAAAGTGCACGAGGTCAGCAAAATGCTTGATTTTTTAGTCGGCAACGGACCCGAATCGACAAAATACGACAAGACACTGCGTCCAAACTTTGGCGGGTCTCCAGTGATTGTGGGCGTGACGATTAACGTGGACTCGCTAGGTCCGATTGATGAAGTCAACATGAATTTCCGACTGGACTTGTCGTTCCGACAATTCTGGAAAGATACTCGACTCGACTTCAGTCTATACACTAAAACTGACACTTATGATCGTAAGTATCGTCCTAGTTATGCGTTTTTTTTTTCTTCAACTTGGGAAAAAACTTGTCAAGAAAGCGCTGTCACCCTGATTACGAATGCCCAACTTAAGGCCGTGGATCAATCCTAGGACTATCACGAACAAAAATTTGGGTATTTTTGGAACACACCAAGACGGCAAAAAATATTCTGCGACCAAATGATAATTTTTTCAGAAACCGAACTTGGTGCAACGGAAAGAACTATATATTGAGATGAGATGGGCTATTAACTCATTGAGTATGGTCTGGTTAATTATGAAGTTCTGACTATTTATTTTTGGCCAAATTGGCTCGAGCAACTCCTTAATCTAATACAGATCTTAATCCTACCCGCACTGACAAAAATGGTTTTTGGATCGATTTAAATTGATTTGAATCAATTTAAATTGATCCAAATCAACTAACAATGAACTTTTTAGGAGCTCAAATGGATTCCGACTCACTAGAATCCATCCAAATTTTACTAAAATTCTTTTAAATCCAGTTTAAAAGACTCTTGATCAGCTCAATTTAAGTGTCTAAAAAACCCATTTTAAATCATTTCAACGCGATTTATTTTTGCTAACACCGCGAAAAAAAAACATGCAATTTAAAAAACTAATTAAAACTTTTTATTCTTGATTTTCTAATTAAAATTAGACATGCTAGATGTAAAAGAAATTAAGAAAATGGTCAGCAGAAATCAGCTTTTGAGCTTAAAAATATGCAATAAAAATCCAAAAAAAATTATCATTGTAAATCAGATAATAGGCAAAAACCTATGTAACAAATCAGGAAAAAAGTCGGTATAAATCAAATTTTGAGCGCTGAATTGTGCATTAAATTATAAAAAAAATCATCATTATAAGTCAAATGTTGGTCAAAACCCAAGTAGCAAGTCAAGAAAAGGTCACAATACATCAATTTTTGAGCTCCAAAGTTTGCAATGAAATCATCAAAATTTTTCATTAAATCAGATATTGGGCAAAGATCCATGAAATAAATTTTAAAAAAATTGTCAAATAAAACAAATTTTGAGCTCAAAATAAGCAAAGAAATCATAAATTATTATCAATTTTTCAAAAGTTTTTAGTCTTTTTATTGTTCAACCATACACTGTGGATGTAAAAAGAACAATGATGCCAAATGAATAAACGCAACACAAATTCAAAACTGAAGGAATTTGAAAAAAAATTGGCTTAAATCTATAAAAATCCGTTTTAAGCCCCCTATATAAGAACATATGAAAAATGAAAAAAAAAATGGACTCAAATTGATTTTAAAGTTGGATTCAAGATCTTTTTAAATCCTTTTCAAAATGATCTAATCAACCTTAATCTTTCGATTCAATCTTTGTACTTTTTTCATTCTTAAATCGATCTCAATTAAATTGTGAGATCAAATTCATTCTATCTTTTCTAATGGCCCGACTAATAAAACTAGTTACTGTTCACAATTGACATACAGTCGTTGATTATATTACAAGCAGTGGCGGTTTTTGGAACATTTTGGAACTTTTTGTTGACTATTTTGATTTTTCAAGCTCTTCGAAAGTACTATCGAAACCCTCTTTTCACAAAAATTTTGTGAACTTCTTGCAAATTTTTGGGAAAAACAGATCAAAAGACGTTTTTTGGTACTTTTTGAAAAATTTTGTGCTCAAAATATACATAAATTTTAAAAAATTTCAATCGCTATTGCTGTTGTTTTTCAGCTTGCTCAAAATTGTGCATAAAATTGAAACATTTCAGTCGCTATTATTACTGTTTTTGAACTTGCCCAAAAATCTCTCTTTTGTTTAGAAAGAGTTGTTTAAAATGATTGGTTTTTGATTACAACATAGAGCAAAGAAAAAATTTCGTCGATAAACTATTAAAATTCTAATTAACTTGTCTCGAAACAAATTTCTGCGTTACGAATGGGTGGTCTTAACAGTTGTCTTAAAAGCTAGCATTACGAGGCAAATCTGTGCTTCTTGTGAACTGTAAGCGGATTCCACAACAAGGACGCTCCCTTTGTTCTTCTTTTGTTCTTTCATTTTCTTAAGTCGCTCAGACAAAACTTTAAAATGTTTAAAGGCTTGTCTCAGGAATCCAGGAACATATAGGCACAAAATTGTGCGCATATCCAGTGCACAGTTTGGCTTCTTAATTTGGTGCCTGGTTACTTGTAAGAAACAATAAAGAAATAAAATGTTTATAGCTCTCTTGGTTTTTTATTATTTTTCTTGTTTTCTAAATTGTCGGAATACTCGATGCGGCCTGTTTTTTCACTCGGCTATTCTTTACTTTTCTCATTTTTTCTTTAGGTTGACGGTCTGTGTTTGAAAACTAGTTGCCAGTTAAAAACAATGCAATGAATGGTTAACTATGCTGCGATCAAAAATTGATTCTCAACTTATTGTAACACTGTCACATGCCACAGTTTATTATTTACCGTTTTTAACACAACTGCAATTTTGATTGACACAAATTTGGTTGTTTTGCCTGTCTTCTATCTCCATGTAGTCTATTGGTGGCCTGTGACTAGTGACAATTGTCCAAAAAGCAATTACCACTTATTTGGTTCTCCTCGTGAATTTATTAAAAGAACTCAACTTTATTTGTGATTTGAAACTGTTACTTTTTTGAACAAAGAGGTTGGAATATTGGAGCTCGCTGATGTTTTTCCTTCGGTAAGTTCCGATTGACTTCTTTTTTTTTCACAATTAATAAAGCCAACTAAATCAGGCATTTAGAGACCATAATTTTTAAAATTTAAGTAGCCGTCCCGTACCCAGTAAATTTTCTAAAACAGATCTGAAATAATCTTGTTCAGATCTAAGCTTTAGATCTAAAATAGGTTGTGAAACGTTTAAATAATCCCTGGATACTCTAACGAATGGTTATTTTAGAATAACGAATTTCAGATCTTAAATTTTGTTTATCTTGGTCGTTTCGGATCTGAAAAAAATCTATTTCAGATGTTAATTTAGTTTTTCTTGGTTATTTCAGATCTGAAAAATCACTGACTCTGACACAAATTTTGCTAATTTTGATTTTTTTGTACTAGTAGCTACTCAGCAAAGACATAAGCAGGCAACTGCAAAATTTTTTCCCCCACGCTTGAGATAAACATTGGAAACGCATAAGTAGCTCGTGAAATGCAAAAATTTGACAACATTTTAACACAGTTGAACAGAAAATTTAGTTTTTGAAAAAATGTTTTTGAAATTATTCGGAAGGTTTTTTTACCGCTAGTTATTCTTAACATAGTTGTGTATTGTAGAAACAACAAAAAATAAAAACTCATTTTTTGCTCGAAATGCATGAATTATAATTCAACAAAGGATTTCTCAGATCTGATTTCAGATCTGAAATTTTGTTTTTCAAGATTGTTTCAGATCTGAAGTTTTAAAATTCTTATCATGATCTAAAACAAAGAATTTCAGATCTGAGAATCATTTTATGTAGGAAATAAAGAATTTCAGATCTTGCACAGAAAATCCCCTTGGTACGTGGTTGCATGTGGAATTTTTTCTTGTCCTGCTGAATTATAACCAAAGTCAATGATTATTAAAAAGTTGCTAAATACACAAAAAGCTAAATACGCAAAAAAGATCCCCGTACCACGTAAATTTTATAAAACAGATCTGAAATCGTTTTTCTCAGTTCTAAATTTCAGATCTGAAATAGGTTGTTGTGAAATGTTTATTTAACTCTTGCATACTTTAAGGGTTGGTTGTTTCAGATCTAATTTCAAATCCCAATTTTGTTGTTCTTAGTTATTTCAGATCTAAAAAAACCTATTTCAGATCTAATTTTGGATCTGAAATTTATTTTTTATTGGCTATATCTGAAAAATCAATGACTTTGACACAATTTTTAGCAAATTTTGACTTTTTTTTATTTGATAGCTTCTCCTAGCTACTAGCAGGTACTCAGCAAAATCTCAAACTGGAAACTGCCAAAATCTGTTTTGCCAAGCATGAGATAAACAACGGAGACGCATAAGTAGAGCATGAAATTCAAAAGATTGACAGGTTTTCTAACAGTTTTTGAAAACTTGTTAACACAGTTGAACTAGATTTTTAGTTCAGAAAAAAACACTGTTTGTGAAATTATTCGGAAGTTTTTTTCAGCGCTAGCTAATCTGAACATAATTGTATACTGCAGAAAAATTTAAAAAAAAAACAATTTTTTGCTCGAAATGCATAATTCGAGCAAAAAATTTGAAAGAGGTTGAAAAAACTCAATACTTGTTGAAGACCAAGAATTAAAAGAACGCTCATCTAGTGCTTCTTCTCAAGGCGTAGTTAGAATGAAACAACCGTTTACAAATTTAAGATCTGAAATTTGAAACTCAAATAGAAAATTTTAGACCTGAAATAACTTCGAAAAAAATTTCAGATGTGAATTCAGATCTGAGAAACATCTGAAATTTTTGAACGATTTTTGAACGATATTCTCAGATCTGATTTCACATCTGAAATTTTTTTCGAAGTTATTTCAGGTCTAAAATTTTCTATTTGAGTTTCAAATTTCAGATCTTAAATTTGTAAACGGTTGTTTCATTCTAACTACGCCTTGAGAAGAAGCACTAGATGAGCGTTCTTTTAATTCTTGGTCTTCAACAAGTATTGAGTTTTTTCAACCTCTTTCAAATTTTTTTAACAGTAAGTTTTTGATTGCTGAAAATATTCTGAGAAAATTCAAAAAAACAATAGAGACGTCATTACTTCCGAAAACTTTCGAGGCAGTCTTTGAGAAATAACTTTTTCACAATCTCGGTAAATTGTCCAAGGAACACAGAACCATTTGGACATTATGCTCCTAATTTTATACGACGGCTTAGCTTCTACGATTTTTCTGAAAAATTTTGGAAGAAAATAACAAAAAAATACTTTTTAGAAGGAAGCAGCTCTTCCCGTAAACTAAATAGCCAAGCCCATTGCTGTGCATGTAGTACAGAGCGTTCCGATAACAGCCTTAAAAACTACAACAAAAAGTTTTTTT